TCTGGGTTTCCAGGTGCCCCCCCCCCCCCCCCCCCCACCCCCCCCCCCCCCAACCCCCCCCCCCGGGCCCCCCCCCCCCCCCCCCCCACCCCCCACCTCCTCCCCCTCCAACGCCACCTCCGGGCCCCCCCCCCACCGCCCGGCCGACCCGTTCTTCGTGGTGGAGACCGTCTGCATCTGCTGGTTCTCGCTGGAGCTGCTGGTGCGGCTGGTGGCCAGCCCCAGCAAGGCGGCCTTCTTCCGCAGCGCCATGAACCTCATCGACCTGGCGGCCATCGCCCCCTACTTCATCGCCCTGGGCACCGAGCTGGCGGCGCAGCGCGGGCTGGGCCAGCCCGCCATGTCGCTGGCCGTGCTGCGCGTCATCCGCCTCGTCCGCGTCTTCCGCGTCTTCAAGCTGTCGCGCCACTCCACCGGCCTGCAGATCCTGGGCCAGACGCTGCGGGCCAGCATGCGCGAGCTGGGCCTGCTCATCTTCTTCCTCCTCATCGGCGTCGTGCTCTTCTCCAGCGCCGTCTACTTCGCCGAGGCCGAGGACGCCGCCACGGCCTTCACGTCCATCCCGCAGGCCTTCTGGTGGGCCGTGGTCACCATGACCACCGTGGGCTACGGCGACATGGCGCCCGTGACGGTGGGCGGCAAGCTGGTGGGCTCGCTGTGCGCCATCGCCGGCGTGCTCACCATCTCCCTGCCCGTGCCCGTCATCGTCTCCAACTTCTCCTACTTCTACCGGCGGGAGCTGCGCGGGGAGGAGACGGGCGAGGTGGTGCCGCCCGCCCCCTGCCCCCACCACCCCGCGCCCCCCGAGCCGCCCGGGGACCCCAAGGAGGGCGGGGGGCACGGGGAGGGCTGGGGGGTGGACGGGGAGGCCGGAGGGGAGAAGGGCTGGGGGGGCAGGTTGGTCACTGAGGTGTGAGGGGAGGGGGGACGAGGGGGGCCTGGGGGGTGTGAGGGGGCACCAGGAGGAAGTTTGGGGGCACCAGGATGGGCTACGGGGCACCAGGACAAACTGGGGGGCACCAGGACAAACTGGGGCTGCACGAGGAGGAGTTTGGGGGGCACCAGGATGGACTGGGGGGCACCAGGATGGACTGGGGGTGCACGAGGAGGAGTTCGAGGGGCACCAGGATGGACTGGGGGGCACCAGGACAAACTGGGGGGCACCAGAACAAACTGGGGGTGCACCAGGAGGAGTTTGGGGGGCACCAAGATGGACTGGGGGGCACCAGGAGGAGTTTGGGGGGCACCAGGATGGACTGGGGGGCACCAGGACAAACTGGGGGGGCACCAGAACAAACTGGGGGTGCACAAGGAGGAGTTTGGAGGGCACCAGAACAAACTGGGGGTGCACCAGGAGGAGTCTGGGGGGCACTAGGACAAACTGGGGGGCACCAGAACAAACTGGAGGTGCACCAGGAGGAGTCTGGGGGGCACCAGGACAAACTGGGGGGCACCAGAACAAACTGGGGGTGCACCAGGATGGACTGGGGGGCACCAGGACAAACTGAGGGTGCACAAAGAGGAGTCTGGGGGGCACCAGGAGGAGTTTGGGGGGCACCAGGAGAGGCTGTCGTGCACCAGGACAAACTGGGGGTGCACAAGGAGGAGTCTGGGGGGCACCAAGATGGACTGGGGGGCACCAGGACAAACTGGGGTGCACAAGGAGGAGTTTGGGGGGCACCAGGATGGACTGGGGGGCACCAGGACAAACTGGGGGTGCACAAAGAGGAGTCTGGGGGGCACCAGGAGGAGTTTGGGGGGCACCAGGAGAGGCTGTTGTGCACCAGGACAAACTGGGGGGCACCAGGAGGAGTTTGGGGGGCACTGGGAGAGACTGTGGTGCACCAAGAGGAACTGGGGGGCACGAGGGTGCCCGTGGGGGGGGGCACAAGGACTTAGGAGGGGGCACCAGGACATGTTGGGGTGAACGAGGGGGCACCAGGACTTCTGAGGGTGTCCCAGGATGGACAAGGGGGCACCGGGACATGCTGGGGGGCACGAGGGTGTCCCAGGATGGACAAGGGGGCACCAGGACTTCTGAGGGTGTCCCAGGATGGACAAGGGGGCACCAGGACTTCTGAGGGTGCCCCAGGACGGACAAGGGGGCACCAGCACATGCTGGGGGGCACGAGGGTGTCCCAGGATCGACAAGGGGGCACCAGGACACGTTGGGGTGAACGAGGGGGCACCAGGACTTCTGAGGGTGTCCCAGGATGGACAAGGGGGCACCAGGACACGTTGGGGGGCATGAGGACAGCTGAGGACACTCGAGGACACCAAGGGGGGCACAGGGACACACCAGGACACTCGAGGACCCAGCAGGACTCAGGAGGACACTCGAGGACTCACAAGAGCACTTGAGTGTGCCCGTGGCTGCACCAGGACCCACCAGGACCCACCGGGACACACGAGTGGGGTCGCGGCTGCACCAGGACCCACCAGGACCCACCGGGACACACTGGTGGGGTCACAGCTGCACCAGGACCCACCAGGACCCACCGGGACACACTGGTGGGGTCACAGCTGCACCAGGACCCAC